AGACCAACCACCGAGCAATTAGCAGAACAGACAAAGAAAACTGATAACCTAGCCAAAGATAAAACAGCATTAGAAAAAGATTTAAAACAGACCCAGAATAATTTGGCCGCTGAAAGAACTCAACACGGAGAAACACAAACCCAATTAAAAAACAAGACAGTAGAATTAGGGAATGTAGAGCGAGAAATGAAAAAAATAGAGTTAGTAGCAAAAGCGTTTATAGAGAATTTCAAGTCCTTAAAAGCCCAAAATAGAAATCTAAAAATTGAAGCTGTCGAATGGGAGGAAAAAGTTGAAGAATTATTAGTTGAAAATAGCCGCTACGAAAATGAATGACAAGTAAAAATTAAAGAGTTGAAAGAAGCAAAAGAAAGTTTAGAGCAAAAGTTAGACCAGGCCAAAAACCAAACCAACGAACGACAAAATGAGCTCAATGAAAATGTAAAAACTCTGGAATATCTGCTGGAATTAGGGGAACAAGATAAGGAGAAAATTCAAAATCAAGTGCGAACATTGAAAGACCAAATTGCCGACAGTGAAAAGGAGAAACGAAAGCAGCAGCAAGATAATCGGTATTTAATTTGACAAAAGGAGCGAGAAATTACCAAACTTACAGCGAAAGTAGAGGAATGGAGAAAAAGAGCGGCTGAATTAAAGGCTTCTCTGAATGACCGCCCGACCGAGGATGATTTAGCCATTTTCCAAGAAAAATATCAGAAAATTGTTGCCGAATTAGCATTAGTCAATAAAGAATTGCAGGAAGCCAAAGATAATAATTTTGCGGCCACAGAGGAAAACAAAGAATTAACCAAAAAACTCACCCGGCAGGAAAAATTAAATAAAAGGCAAGACGCAACCATAGCGGAATTGAAAGGTAAATTAACGGAGGTTAAAGAGGAATTAGATAAGTCCAAGCAGGAGATTACCAAATTAAAAATATTACAAACCGCCAAAGATGCTTCGGTCCATGACCATCAGCAAATTATTCAAGGGTTAAAAAGTAAATTGGTCGAATCGAAACACGAAGCGTTAATTTCCCAGCGAGAGGCAAAAAAGAAATCGACAAAGGCCGAAAATGAATTAGCAGCATTGAAACGAAAATTAGAGCGGGAAAAAGAAAATCACCAGGAAACCGCAAATAAATTAAACGAAAGAACCCAGAATAGCAACAATTTACAAAAGCAGATTTTTGAATTAGAAAGCAAATGTCAAAAATTACAAATAGCGGTTAAAAAGAACACAAAAGATAAAAAAGAGTTGACTAATCAACTCCGCGAGGCCAGAAGCGAAAATAGCGACTACTCCGAACAAATTACTTATTTGAAAGAGCAGATTGATAATTTGGAATATGGTTTACGAGTGTCAAATAAGGAAAATGAAGATTTAAAAGGTCAATTAGTAATTGTCAATCAAGAAAAAAACAATTTACAGCAGATTATTGACCGCGCTCAAAACCGACTGGGAGAGCCAGACTTAAACAATTTGCCAAATATGCCACAAGGCAGGACATTAAGGCAATTGATTGCTGATTTTAATGCTAGCCAAATTAACTTACAAAATGAAACAGCCAGAGCGGACGCAGAAAAATTACGAGCCGATACTTATGAAAATGATTTGCGAGCAGAATTTAATATTACTAATGTTAATGACTGAAAGAATGTGTTGGTCGGGTTAAAAGGTCGTCCGACTCGGGCAGACTACGATAACATTAAGAACCAAAGGGACAGATATCAGCAAGAGCGAGACAATTTACAAAATAAATTAGATACTCACCTGCAATGATGTCAAATTATTAATTGTCAGGAACCTTGCTGCTTGGGTGATTATAAGCGATTACAAAAGAAATTAGCCAGACAGGAGAAAGATATTTTAGAGAAAATTAATGATTCATTAGAATTAGGAATAGAAGTTGAAGAATTAACCATTCAAAAAATAATTAGCCGAATTGAGGAATTAATTAGAGGCCCAAAAACAACTAATCAACAATTACAAAAAGAATTAGACCAGGCTCAAAAAGTTATTAGATTATTACAAAAAGACAAGAAAGACATTGATTTCTTGGCTATTCAACAGGCCGAATATCAAAAAATACTTGCTTGGGCGAAAGGTGAAACGAATGAAACTTGTGTGCGATTAGGCATTAATATTCCGTTTGCTATAAGAGAGAAAATTAACCGGGCAACTACTTTGGTTGCCGTGGCCCGAGAAAGAAATAATTTAATCCAAGCCAAATTAGGAGAGAACAATACCGAATTAAAAAAAATAATTCGTCAAAAAGAAAATTTGATCCAAGAACAAATCCAAGAAAGATGAATTTGGGGCATTTTGCTGCTGTTGAGTTATATGACGATAATTGGTTTAATTGGTAAGTTGAAAATGAGAAAGAGGGTTAAATAGACCCGATATTTTTAAGCAAAAAAATATCAAAGGCTAATTTTATAGCATTTTGTCGAAATATGAATAATGAACCAAGAAGTTTGTAATTATGTAAAATAGTATCATATAAGTAAAAAACTAAAAAAAGAAAATTATAATAATGCGTAAAAAAAAAGTAATTAAAAGACATGTAATCAATCCTGACCCTAAATTTGCTTCCGTGATTGTTAGCCGCTTGATTAATAAAGTAATGAAAAATGGCGAAAAGAGAAAAGCACGTAATATAGTCTACCAAGCCGCTCAAATAATCGAAAAAAAAACTTCTTTGCCTTTCTTGACCGTTTTTGAAGGGGCACGAACGAATGCTAAACCGGGCTTGGAAATGAAAAGTCGGCGGGTTGGAGCCACCAAACAACGGGTTCCGAAAGAAATTGATGATGAACGGGGTGAAAAAATATTCTTGCGCTGGATAGTCGAAGGAGCCAAGGAAAAAAAAACTCCTTATTCAATGTCCGAAAAGTTGGCCGAGGAAATTCACAATGCTTACAACAAATCAGGGGAGGCTTACAAGAAAAAAGAGGTTCTCTACAAAGAAGCCGAATCAGGTCGGGTTTTTTCCTCTTTCTTGAAACGCTAAAAACTGGCAAGAAGTTTTGAGTAAGAAATAATTAAAACTGTTATGATGTCGAGAAAGCAAAAATTTTTCTTATCAATTTAATAATATGATATGAAAGACACACACACACACACACACAAAATTAACCCCTGAAATTATTGAAACTCTAAAAAAAAGAGGGCAAAAACACTATCCGAATAGAGAGGCAAACCGTTCCTTTAAGTAAACCATTAAATAAAATCAATAATGAATACTACAATAGAATTACGATTGAGGAGGAGTGGGGAGAGTTAAAAAGTGAAAAAAAAGTCTGAGGCCATACTGTTTACGAGTTAAGCCCTGGAATTTTGTGGAGAATATTGCAAGATGGTAAGTTATTCAAGTATGTTAATCCTAATGCTGAGATTGACAAAAATGACTGCCAATTTGTTTCCATGGATATTCTGGCCGATTTTCAAAGGATTTTTGGTGAAGAAGAGGAGAAAATAAAAATAATCAAAAGGGGTTTTAATAACTGAAAGAAAATTAAAGATTTCGCTATTAATGATGTAATTAGACCAGGCGATTGGGGTGGTTGAAAAAGTATTTTTGACATTATTAAAAAGGATCGAATGTTAAGCCAAGCCGGCCGTCCGGTTAGTCCACAGGCTTTCAAATTTCTTCAAGACACTATTGCCGGTGAAGTAAAGGTGATTTATGAACCAGGAGAGCATGATTTAGCCGAATTTGACGGTGTGAAAGATTTGGCGACGGCTAATATTGAGGTGGATATTGATTTAGAACAAGAGAAAAAGGAAACAGAAAGCAACCCATCAACTTCCAAAGGGGAAAATTTAGGCAGTGGTAGCAAATCTGTTTCCAGCCCAAGAACTATTATTTTAATAGGGGGAGTAAGGAGCGGAAAATCAGCCCTGGCTAATGTTTTAGCGGGTCAGGAGTTATTTAAAGAAAGTTTAAAATCCTCCTCTATCGGTAATCGGGAAGCCCGAGAAGGCGAATTTGTCCGAGAAACCGAGCAAGGAGAAAAAATTACTTACCGTCTGGTGGAAATTCCTGACTTTTTCGAGGCAATGGTCGATGAAGAAAGCAAAAAGCAAGTGGAAAATAAACTCCAGGAGGAATTAGCCAAAGGCGATATTAATCAAGTATTTTTACTTTCTAGGAATAAATTTACTGAAATTGTTCCCTATTATGACTACCTAATGAGTAATGGAATGCCGATTGAATATTTAACCATCATTCGAACCGAATATCCTAATTTTGAAAATGAAGCGAAGGTCAATGAGGAGAAAGAAATTTTACAAAACGAAGATGAAAAATCGAAAAAAATATTCAGTTCAGTTTCTCTAATTTGTGTTGACAATCCGCCACTGTCGTCAGGATGCTTGGCGGAAATTAATAAAGAAGTTAGACAGATTTCTCAGCAAAAATTGTTCGCCCATTTAGCCAACAAAAATGAATTTTCCCCACCAATTATTTTGGAACAACCCTTAATTTCCCTAGTAGAAAAAGCAGAAAAATTGGAGAGCGAAGGGCTTTTATACCGTCCAGCACTTTTGGAAAAATTAATGACGGCTATCCAAAAAAACTCTAAATTAGCCACTGCCGAGCCGGGCTTAGCCAGCCGTGTTAAGAAATTAAACCAAAAATTAGTAGAGTTAACGCACACTAAAGATCTGAGTGACGCTTTTCCTTATAACGAGGAGGAAAGAAATAAGTGAACTAATTTTTTGAACCAATTAAAGGAGGCCACCGAAACCGCCTGAATAAAGGAAGAGAAAAATTTCGTTTCTTGTTTAGAACATTTGGCCGAAAATGGCTATCAACCGGACGATTATCTGTGCTTTAACCAAATTGTTGATCGGGGAAAGAACTCCGAAAGTTCCAATAGTGGTAGAAGTATTGAAAACCAAGTAAAGGTTGTTTACAAAACGGAGAACGGAGGAGAATTTGATGCTTTGGTTTGAACCAAAAGACAAGCCAACTATTATTCCTGCCAGTGTCAAAATGTTGTTAAAGAAATAGAAAACAAAATTAGGGAAGTTGGACCCGGCGAATATCCGCAGTGGCCGAAAAAAATAAACGAGATAATTGGCGTTCCGCAACCCCAACAGGAGGGAATGACTACCGAACAGCAAATTGAGGAGTTTATTTTTATGGCGGCGGATGACGAACAGGCCAGAGAAAGAACTGACCGTATTCATAAAATAGCCGTTAACGAACGGGCTATTTACCGCTCCATAAATGGAAAATGACAAGATAATTTAACCCAAGTTAGCAAGAAGTCCCCCATCCTCTTTTAGGTGGTGGGATGAATTGCTAAAATATAACAT